ACTCAAGGAAGGTTTCAATGAATTAGTGTCCCATAGTCTCCTAACCTAATTATGTACAACACCTGTCATACTAATTCATCACTTGCACATAAGAAGATATAAAAGAGTGAGCCCTGTTTACTGTAATTCTGCTTATAGTGTGTTTTGCAATTAAGTTTGCTCTGTAGTGTGTTTAAAGACAAACATGCATGTACTGTATATGTTGTATTCAAACACACACAAGTGCCATTTAGTATATATTTTCATTAAAATTAAAATCCATATCTTGGCATTTAATTTGCTATTTCAACTGAGTCCTGAAAGATGCATCTGAAATATTGATGGGTCTTTGATTACCTATTGTAAAATACCCTGGAATGTTTGTGATAAGTTATCAAATGAGTCTGCTCTCCTCATTTAGAACATGAGAAAGGATACAAACGAGCGGATAGATAAATATTGATATCTTTCAAATACTAACCAACCTCCCCTCTCTAACAAGTATGCTTGTTTAGAAAGTGCAAAATAATATTTTACATGAGGATTCTTTAAAAATCACTGACTTGATTTACAGTATGTTATTTCCATGATTTATTGGGTTCACACATTACATCAGTTTATAATATTACATAAGACTGTTTCAAGGATATTTAACATTGAATGTTATGGATACATTTATTTTTAATACTGAGATAAAGATAATTGAGTAATTCAAATGAGTTTCAACCAGATTTGTCAGAGTCAAGTAATCTGATGAGGGAACTCTCCTAGTTGTTGGCACCTAATGTTTAGCAAATCAAAAAGCCGAGCAGTTTGAACTGTCATGATATGTGATGTGGCTGTCTATCAAATAGCATCTAATGAAGTAACATTTGAGGAATGCGCAAACAGCAAAAGAAAAAACATTTTATTATTTTAATAGGATCAGTAAAGACCATTCTTAGAAATGCTTCTTTAGTCTGTCTGTTGTGACAAGTGTATAATACAGGTCATGTTTTAGATATTTTTAATAGTCGACTTTCTTTGGAGTGTTATTTTCTGAAAATGATTTTAGTATTTAATTTCCTAGCGCAGGCAACAAATCATGTATTACAAGTTGTGTACTCTGTTGAAGATTTGTGAGTTGTATTGTCAGCTTAGGAGGAAAGACACCAGAGTTTTGTTGTACTCATGGACTCTGGTAATCTCATTACAAAGAGTGGTACTTTTGTGTTCTGTTTAGTAGCTCTTATTCACATTTAATATTCTATTTATGTAAAATTCCCAGATGCAGATTTGATTATTCAGTCACCAAAAATAGTTACATAAAAAGAACCTGCATAATTTCACTTCAGTCTGGTTCTTCCCGATTTAAATTTTTACACTTCTTAAAAGCTGGATACCAGCTTACAGTAATTATGATACATTCTGAATGTTTTGAAAATATAGGTTGTGCTATTTAAAATCAACCCCATGGTCCCTGTATTGTGCTATATGATTATGTGAAAAAACATTTTTAAAGGAATATTGCCATAAGTTGCATAATTTGAGGTCAGCCAATTATGAAGTAGAGATTGTTGAGTTGAGTTTTCTTTGACGTTTTGACAACTGTTAAAAAGGGCTGACTTTAGTGGCCAAAGGGCTGACCATAATGGCAAACTAGAACCTGCTATGTAAAGCAGAGTGAGATTTTTTTTTTTACTGTTATAAATAGGATGATAAAAATGGGGAAAAAAGTATTGTACTTAAAAAGCTAAGGAAGCACATTAAAACTTGATCTGACCCTGATATACTTTGTGCACTTTAAGAGTCCTGAGAGAGCAGCACTTTAAGAGTCCTGAGAGAGCAGTATGTCAGTACAGTATGTTCAGTTTTCTTATTTCCAATATAGGGTATTACAAGAGAATAAAAGTTATAATGCTACTGTATTTATTTAAAAAATCACTACTTTACCAGTGCACCTTTAAATCAAGTCATATCAGGACATTGCCTGTCATTAGGAAAGTCACCTACCTGTACACATGATAATGAATGTGTCCAGATGGTGTTTTGTTTCCATATTATTGGGTTCATTTTGAATGAGTTCTGACAGCTGTAACAGGTGTCATTGTAAGTATTCTGTCCCAAAGCAACTAACCCTGTTTTGTCAAGGCACTTCTGTCAGAGGCCAGTGCTTCCAGAGCAAGAGAGAAACTTTGAATAAAGTTAAATATTTTGATTAAACAAAAGTGAAATTTCCAATAAATATTAAATCCCATATCATTTTTTTCCAAGATATCTGTCCTGAATCTTTCTTTTCCATTGCAAACCCACATTAGTTACAGTATATAAGTGGTATCTTAACATGATTGGATCATTTTCTACCAAATGGGCTAGATGGGCTGAATGACCTTGTCTAATTTGCAATGTCCAAACTGAACGTGAAGAATGCATTAAACTTCCAACTGTATATCAACAGTGCTGAAACGGAGACAAATAATATAACTTGATTGACTTTATATAGTGATGAGAATCTCTAAGTAAAATGATTTTAATAGTGTTTCTACAAAGATTAAGAATGTTCTTTTAAATTGCCCAATTATTTACACACATATGTACTGGACTTTGTTCTTGTTGCTGAAGTACTGTATGTTCAGAAAGAGGTAGAACCCACATACTGTATTATCAGACTGTTATCTGTTTTGTGTTTAGAATGACAAGACCGACATGACAGAATTTTACTAGAATGTTTTCTCTGACTTTTTTACTTTCCTAGCTCTTCTTAATAACCCTCAATTCTCATTTTGCTACGGTCTCACAAAAGAAGCCTTTATAAGCTCTTTGGTTACACTAGGCTTTGGTACAAGGTAAATGCACTTGGGAAAATAGTTTTTGACAACGCAGTTTTTACTATGATTTTATCTCATCAGCTGAATATTTTACTTACAATGAACTGACATGTCATGTCCAAGGATTGGTCAAGGTCTAGGAAATGAATCAAACTGAAGCTGTTAGCTGTAGTGTTAGATATCAAAAGAAGAAGATAAACAATCAAACAGTTATCTTATAAAATAGCTGTTGCTAAACTAAACTGTGAAATGAGTTGACTTTCATAGGTCTTCCCATTAATAAGCTTTTCTTAAAGTGATAAGAATTGTGTGATCTATACTGACGCCTGATAAATTGCTTTTAGTTCCCTTTAGATGTCTAGAAAGGTTTTAGAAAATCTATTTACCTGGGAAGTTCTGAATCCACAGCTCCCAAAGCTCAATAAATATTCAGCTCTATTGTGATCTGTAATGGGTACAATTTTAACTTGATCTACTCTCTTGTGGAAAACTGAGAATATTCCTATTTTCAATATTACAATTGTAAAAAGATCCGTTTAATTGCTTGTTCCTCTATTCACACCACTGATGAAGGTAAACGGCAATTCAATACTATCTATATGTATAAGGGAATTTAGAGTTAATCCATGACTATGAAGGGGATAATCACTTAAGTGATGCATAAAATTGCCAAAATAGGCAGTAATTAAATGAGCAAAGTAGACCACTAAATACGTAGCGGGAATTCAAAGACATGTTTTATAAAGCAGGCCATAACAACATCAATCAATATTAAATTAATTCTCTGGGGTCTTTCCTTTCAAGCATCCCCTTTTAGCAAATGCATAGAATAAGACACAGTGCTCTTGCTGTGTAATTGATTGATTCCATGGGCGTAAATTGTGTTAGACCTGTTATCAATTCATACAATGAGTCTATAAATGTAGATAGCTCTTGCATAATTAATTTTGAGAGTGTATTGAAAACAAATGTTAGCCAGAATATAATTTCATTTTTTATTGGAAAGATATTTTTGTAGTCATTTGTGCTTTTAAAGTCATTTCACACTAATGTTTACCTTCTGATACAGTATGTAGAGTATGCTGCTTGAGTGACACAGCCCAGACTATTTAAGACATGCAGAACACATCCTGTTCTGTAACTGGTTGTTCAGCTTTGATTGCACTCACTTGATTTGATACATGATTATTAATGTTATATACTACCTTTTCATAGTGAGAACAACCTCAGTGTGGTTGGCAAAGCAAAGAACATGAATGTACTATCCCAGCACTTTGTAAGAGTGTACTCAGAAATTGTTGCGTACTGTACTTAATAGTTCAGCATTCAACATTTCTAAAAACCCTTTAAAAAAGAGCTATGCTTAAACATAATACCACAAAAAAGTTTATGAAATATATATGAAATAGATTCATATTTCAATTTAAAAGAAAATTGAAAAAAGAAACTGAGATAAAATTAGTATTTATATTTGTATCTTATCAACACAACCATTTAGTTTTACTTGTCCATCAAAAAGTTCTAAATAATGCCATACAGTATAATATTTTAAACGATTTCTCGCATTAAATCTGAGGCTGATGCTTGTAAATTGCCACAAATGTACTGTAGGATGCAGACGAAAAGAGATGTTAAAAGCAAGACATACCATTCTTCTTTTTACATTTTCACTATAACAATCACAATTAACCTTTTATTGTTTTATTTGCAGTATGAAAAAAACAGTACAAAATAGGTTGAAAAATATTTTTGAGAACTTTGAGGAATGTTTTGCCTTTTTCATGCTGAGATATGTAGGAATTTGAGGCACATGTCAGACTGAGAATATTTATTGGCAAGACTGAAGCCGAAAGGAGAGCAGAAAATGTTATTCTCAGTGACAGTGACTACAGCTTTGATTCTATGGTTTTAGACAACCATGAGGTGGATGAAGGTAGTGGTAAACTAAAGCTTTCAATGCCTCTGCCTTCTGGCAGTGAATTGTTTTTTTCTTGCTTTTGACTTGCAAAGTAATCAACTGAACTGGTAGTTCAATGGGAAAGATCACTAACAATATTTCTTCTACAATATTTGTTCTACATTTAATCACCTTTCTTCTACATTTCAAGAGCTCGGATATGATAATGTATTGTATTTAAAGTGTACAGATGAATCTGCAGAGCTCAATCAACTACAACATCTAACTTTGCATTTTCTTAATTCTTTGTTTTACAGTAAAGCCAACTGTCATAGATGTTGACATATATGTTAACAGCATTGGGCCTGTATCCTCCATAAACATGGTAAGTGATGACATTTAATCATTAATGTGATATAGATGTGGACACTAGGACATTATAAGAGAACATGTCATTGTGGGGTTTTGTGCAGTTACAAAATGAGAGAGGAACTCCATCGGTATGGTTCTAAAGCCCGAGATGAAATGTTTTTATGCAAGTTTGCAGATCAGATAAAATAGTCTAATTTAGGTTTTTCATTATACGAACAAAAATCTGATCAATATGGAATCACGTTATATTAAATAAGTATAAAACTGAGTCAGATCTCTGCTTTGGGAATGGCCAAATGCGGGTTCTAATAAATGTATTTTGTACATTTATTATAGCATTGCACAGTAACCTTGTCATTATTTCAGGGTTTGTGACAAACTTTATTTAGACTATTGTATGTCTTGAATTCTTGATTTGACATTGTGATCATTGGATATATTAAACTTGTATTTTTTAAATGTTTATATAAATATTCTTAAAACATACTGTAACGCAACGGGGGTTCCGGTGGGCGCCCTTGCCGCATTAGGTCAGCCCCCCCACCGTCAGGGGCTCGAACCCGGGACTCCCGCTTCATTCAACAGGGACGCAGCCCGGTGAGCTAAAGAGAGATCTCTCCACAGCCCAGTAGCTGTAGTCCTGCTATCACAGGGAAGGGCAGTGACATCACCGCTCTGGTAAGCCGGCTCTTACACACCCTGATTGCCGTAAGCGTTACACTCTCCCCAGCTTAACTCGCCGTCCCTGGCGAGGGGGTATCCCACCCCGCTTCTGACATCAATGTAACGCTACAGGGTTTCAGGCGGGCACCCTTGCCACATTGGGTCAGCCCTGCACTGTCAGGGGCTTGAACCTGGGATTCCCACGTCACTCAACAGGGACGCAGCCCGGTGAGCCAAAGAGAGATCTCTCCACAGCCCAGTAGCTGTAGTCCTGCTATCACAGGGAAGGGCGGCGACGTCACCGCTCTGGTAAGCTGGCTCTTACACACCCTGATGGCCTTATGCGTTACAATACTTAAACAAAAGGCTAGAGTATTAACCTCTTTATAAGAACAGTATCACATTCCAACATATTGTCTGTGCTGGAATAGTGCCACTTCCAGTGGCTGAAGGCAAAGCATACAGTATCACTTAACTACTGCATGTTCAGTTATTCCAGCATAAATTTGTCTTCTTTGAATCTTGCTGCATAAATTGCTTCATAATCCCTCCGTAACAGCTACTGAAGATGTAATAATCACATACAGTTAATTAGAGGGACATGTTCAAATGACATAATGTAAAAAAATGTTTTAGCATCATTTCTAGCACTTGTTACAATGCAATGCTAAAACAAATGTCATGACCTCTTGTGCATGTTATGGTATTTGAGCATGTCCCTATAAAGAATTCTGATTATGAAGTCAGCTATTGTCTTGTGCTTTATTCTGACATATAAATAAGGTTCCAGTAGTTTGGTTAGATCCTAATGAATTTAATAGAGAGACAAATGCTGTATGTATAAAGTATTTGGCATGACTTTCTAACTGTGGAAATGGTAACCTACAGTTTGTCCAAACCCACCTCCCCCACTACTTTAGCGAGGACTGATTGGGTGAGTTTACTGCAAGAGTCCTGAGTGCCGGACCTATATACTGTACTGTACAGTATGTAGGTGAACAGAAGTGTGCAAGATTAGGATTTAACTTCTGTCCTGAATTTCTGATATAAACACCATTTGCTCTCATTTACACAGACTGAAAGTAATCACTAAAAAAACTAATATCAGTAAATTAATTTTACCTACATAGAAATGTCTCTAGCATGGCAGTATAATTTTGTCAGTGTGCTCATACTGTGTGATGTGTAAAGAAACGCCTCTTGTTTTTTTTGTCCCATATAATCCCAAATGTATTTTTAATTGTGTGCTGAGGATACTGTAGTGTTGCTGATCTTTAAATAGTCTCCTGGGTTAATGTGATCCGTGCATTTAAGGATTCTGATCCATGTCTGCAATCTGGGCATGATGTTCTCCTCAAACGTGGAATAAATGGAGGTACACATTTAAGAGAGTGCTACCTAGAATAGGGTTGGGATTAGTCTGCAAGGCCTGTTTAGACTTTTGGCAAGAAAATGACTCCTGCTTGCAATGTCGTCAGTCAGTGGTGTCGCTCTCCAATCAGTGCTAACTCTCCTGTTAGGAATTGTGGAACTTCCAGTGTGTCATGAGATGAATGGCTTAATGTTCGGACAGGTTGGAGGAGTTTGTCTGTGTCCTCATTCTCTCCCTGCGGTATTGAATTTGTTGCTGTGAGCCAAAATGTAATCATTTGCATACTATTGGCTTAATGTTACTTTTAGTGTTTCAGTACAATGCGTCTGTCAATGTATTTGTGCTAACGGTAGTTTTATGAATGGATAACAAAACAATGTTTAAATTTCCTCTATATTATACAATATATATTATAAATACAGAGAATGGTCAGTTTTCTCCAAATAAATCTTTTTTGAATGATTATGACTGAACTGTAAAATAAAACAATCTAGAAATAATTACATTTAAAATATGATTTGATTAGCAGAACTTACAGTACCATGAAAAAACAAAACACTTGATTATTAAGTAAAAACATTACATGGTTTACTTTCAAACAAATGCATTTAAGATCTAAGATAGTAAAAATAGAAAAAAAACTTTTGTTTCAGCCTTGAAAATTCTTTGCATTCAGAATTTAAATCCATCCTACAACGCCTCTTTAAACACTTATCTTGTCTCTTCATTCTTTTCAATTTTCATTTTATGCACTCATACAGTATTATATTAGTTTGCAAACTATCATTGAAAAAGCTTTATCTGAGTGATGGTGAAGGAGAATTTTTTTTTATTTGAATTTCTAAATGATTTCTAAAAGTACTATATAGCCTCTATTTAATCTTAGCATCTGTGAAAAACAATTTTATACATATTTTCTGACATTTCTTTGAGAATGTCATGAATTTAATATTCCAGGGAACAGAATTTATTGCTTTGAAGAATTGTAATGGATGTCTGGGTCTCTTTTTCCCAAAACAAGGATTTTTATTGTTCTGGCTAAGGATAATTGTGTCATTTCTTGATGCTCATTTATTAGATTTTTTTATATAGATCAAACTCATATTTTTTAGAAATACAAATATAAATTAAAACATAACTGGAGACGTCAGATTTTTCCAAGAATGACTGTAATGTTTAAATGGCTTAATATGAAAAATAATTGATAGATTCTATTTAGAAATATTTAATCACCTTTTCATTGTAAGAACTGCTATTGAAGGGGATAAGACTATGTGTTCTCTTGCATGATGCAAGTTTAATTTATTTTTCACCTTGTAAGATAGGACATTGGGTTCTTTTCTGATAGCTACAGTAAGTACTCCTCTTGTTGTTTTTATTTCAAATGCTTTCCTAAGTATGCTGAATAAGCCATCTTTGACTCTTTTCAAATAAAAGATACAGCTGTAGCTACTCTCTGCACATCTGCTTTCACAATACATCAGAAGAAATCTCAGATTAGCAGCTATGCATTGCCTCTCTTTGTAAACCATTAACCGAGCTAAGACATAATTAGTTTTAATACGGTGTGTCTATGACAGTGGGTTGAGTGAGAAGTTGATTATATGACTCATGTACCGTAGGTAAGCTCAGAGGTGAAAAAGAGTTACTGTATGTTTCTGAATTCAGGAATATTCTTGTGAAGGCTGATAGCTAATCTGTTGGTATTTCTTTCCAATATTAGATCTGGTGGAAGGTCTGGGACAGAAGTACTGTATGTACAAAATGCCTCTGTAATCTATTGTATCCTTGTGCTTACAGGTCAGGGTATAAAAGAAATCATCAAAAAGCCATTTCCATATGTTCAGCTATTCAAAGTCTTCTTTTGTTACAATGTAATGTATCTAATAATAATAATAGGAGTAAAATAATTAGTAATTTTACATACTGTAAATACCAACAACAGCATTTTATTTCCACCAAGACTACAACATACTGTACTAATTTATTAATTTTGTAAGACACAGATTTGTTCTTTGTCATTGCCTTGGTTTTGTTTATTTTTATTCTGAAATTCTAATGTGCTGTATAATTAAGCTGCTTTATGATGTCTTGCAGTGACAAATGAAGATAAATTATTAGGGCTGACTGAATGTGGGTGTATTAAGATGCTGACCTGTAATTATTTTACAATTTTTTTTAAATGTCAAAATTTTCAATTGTAGTTTAAACAATGTACTGAGGAGATGTGCTTTCAAAATAGGATAAAAATCATTTTCCCTTCTCGATTTGTGATTATTCATTTAAATTGCTTTAAAAGAAGTGCATTTTTGTTCATGTGTATTTTGGGTAGATTGTTTTTTTTCTGCATAGATTAAAATAAAATTTGAATGAGTAAAACACTAAAAAATCCAAAAATGTGATTTTATAATAAGAAAAACAAACAGTATGAGTTTTTCCTCAGTATAATGATTTGTTGCTTTATTTGCCTTTCTTTGAAGTATTCAAATATTTCAAATATTGAATCATTATTATTTTAAATATATTTTTGTAATTCTAGTCTATTACTCCTATACTTTACTATACAGTATTACACAAAACCAGATTTCAGTAGGTGACATGAAATCAGTGCATTATTACATTGATCAGTAGAAAAGTACTATAATTTGTTTCAATGTTCCAGACAGTTTACAGGTGAAAACGTAACTAATTAATGTCAATATTTTTATATAATTATCATATCCTTTATTTTTAGTACAGACAACTTTCTAAGAACCTTTTGTAAAGAAGGTATTGTAAAAAAAAAACTATTATATTGTAGATTTTCAGACACAGAATGAAAATAGTCCACAGTTACCATAGTTCTGTAAAGCTAAAGAAATGTTGCTACTTAAAATAATTTCTAGTTAAAACTACTGCTCAAACATGATAGTCTGAAAAAAGAGTACATGATTGTAAAAAATGCCCACTCCTTTCTTAGACCTTCCTGTGAGCTATTG